CCGGCCACTTGATTTTGTGTCTAAAACCTCATTAGCAAACCCAAGGTCACTTTTATAATATTGCCGTCATTTATTTCACTTGTCCATAAGCTAAAGTCGTCAATATATGATTGATATTATTATTTTGAACAAACTACTATGTTAGATCTATTAAGAATAAAAAAATTACATCCTGTGTTCATTTATTCTTTTTAAAATTCTCTTCTGTATGTAGTCCCTGATGGATCTAAGAAGAGTTATTGATTTTCAGTTTGATCAGCCTTTTTTTCCTTTCAACTTCAGTCTCACTCCTTGATGCAGCTTTTTTCTTGTTATGAGGATGGGAGTGATGACTTCCAAAGTCTTTATATGTTAGACCAGAAACTTAAAGTCCCACTTATCTTATGAAAATCCAAAATTAAGGGTTTGAATAAAAAGAAAAAGAGAGAGAAAAAATTCAGATACAGGCTGGGCATGGTGGCTCACACCTGTAATCCTCGCACTCTGGGAAGCTGAGGTGGGAGGATCACTTGAGCTCAGAGTTCAAGACCAGCCTGAACAAGAGTGAGACCCTGTCTCTACTAAAAATAGAAAAATTAGCCGGGCATAGTGGCACATACCTGTAGTCCCAGCTACTCAGGAGGCTGAGGCAGGAGGATTGCTTGAGCCCAGGAGTTTGAGGTTGCTGTGAGCTATGATGATGCCACTGTACTCTAGCTGGGTGACAGAGTGAGACTGTCTCAAGAAAAAAAAAGTTCTGATAGAACTATAGGTAGGACTAGAGCCATAGTCTTTCAAAACTGACAAGTTTTTATACTTTGTAGTTTTGCTGCTTTATGGATTACATTTTGCCACTGTAAAGATGTTTTTGAAATTATAATCTACACTGTATTATACCCCTATCTGCATTTCAGAAGCATACCTGTAAGGCTTATTTATTAAATTATAGATAAGGTATTTTCTTATTAAATATTTAAAAATAACCCTACTATTTATTTGTAGGACTCTAATGAAACCAAATAATCTCTGACTAATCAATTTAATTCTAGAATTAGTCAATTTAATTATGTTGTCTTGTCATTTGGAGATATATCTTCTTTTTATACTAATTCAGGTTTAACTTTGTATCATAATTTTTTTAATATTTAAGTTTTATTGAGAGATAATTCACATACTATACAATTCATCCATTTAAAGTATATCATTCAGTGATTTTTACTGAATATTTACAGAATTGTGCCATTGCAGAAGTGTGGGTCTACTATTACAGTAAATTTTAGAACATATTCATTACCCCATAAAGAAACCCTTTACCTATTAGCAGTGACTCCCCTTTCATCCTGCTTTCATCACCTGGTAACCACTACTCTGTTTTCTGGATAATTTTTAGAAATGAAATCATACACTATGTGGTCCTTTATGACTGACATCTTTCACTTATCATTATATTTTCAAAGTTCATCCATGTTGTTGAATATATCAATACTTCATTCCTTTTTATGGCCAAATAATATTTTATTATATGGATATACCACATTTTATCAATTCATCATTTGATGGATATTTGTGTTCTTTCTACTTTTTGGCTGTCATGAATAATGCTGCTGTGAACATTCACTTATAAGTTTTTGTATGGACATATATTTTTTTTTCTTTGTTATATGAGGAGTGGAATTGCTGGGTCATGTAATAACTCAATGTTTAAGCTCTTGAAAAACTGCTAAACTGTTTTCCAGAGTGGTTGTACCTTTATATTCCCATCAGCAGTATGTGAAGTTTTCATTTTCTGCACATTCTTGCCAACACTTACTGTCTTTTTTGTTATAGCCTTATTAGTGGGTATGAAGTAGTTAGTGTCTTATTGTTGTTTTGATTTGCATGTGGTTTTTCATGGCTCTTGGTGGTGAACTCTTTTCATATGCTTATTAATCATAATTTCTTTTTAATTTTTTTCATGTTTATTCATTTGTTTATTAAATAAATAAAGGTATTTTATAAGTA